CGGGCGAGAAGATCCCGGGAGACCCGAACGTAGCTATCGGCGCGTAATTTATAGACTCGCGACCAGGTGCGCTACGTGTCACGTGCGTGACTTTGTTTACATTAGTACTCGACCTGCGCAGAGCGCGAGGAGATACATCCACTCTGTTTACTGCCTCTGGCAGTCATCCAGGAACTCACAGAACCATAGTTACACCGTAACTTCCGTTCAGAGTGCAAACGGTTTCTTTGTTGCTAATCTGTGTGGAATATCTACATGTTCTACAGAAAGTAGCAACGGGTCCTGAGAAATGTCGCTAAGTTTGTCGCTAGGCGCTTTTTGGAAAAAAAGTCGTTGAGGGGGGTCAAAAAGTCGTTAGGAACAGTGACAAAGTCGCTGAGTTGGCAACACTGGCCAAACAGGCCGCTAGCAGCTTCTGGTTTCTGCTTCTTCTGGTGGTTGGTGAATAGCGTAAAGGTGCACTAGCGCCACCTGCTGGAGCAGAATAAAACACACCTGTGTGTTCAGAATGGGACTAATAAAACACACATAACATGTTATATTTTTATTATTTTAGGTGTTCTCTTCAAAAGCCACAAAAATCAAGTAAAATACTTTTTTCTTTATGATGTTTTTTAATCTAAATCTGACCAGTTTTATTCTTTAGGAACTTCAAACAAACTAAAAAATCTTACTTTCTATAGAGAATGTGATAGAAACTTTTGATGTTGTTACTTTTTATTTGCTTCTCAGAGCTGCTAAAAATAAAAGTAACAACATCAAAAGTTTCTATCACATTCTCTATAGAAAGTAAGATTTTTTAGTTTGTTTGAACCGTTTTGATCCAGTTGAGCTTTCAGAGTTATCAAAAATATTAGCTTCATCTAAACCTTCAACTTGCATTTTGGATCCAATCCCAACCAAATTATTTAAAGAAGCATTTCCTTTGGTTACTGCCCCCAATCTAGATATAATCAATCTATCCTTAGTAAATGGATATGTACCACAAGATTTTAAGGTTGCTGTAATCAAACCTTCACTTAAGAAGCCTTCTCTGGATGCAGCTGACCCAATGAATTATAGACCAATATCTAACCTTCCATTTTTATCCAAAGTCCTGGAGAAAATAGTGGCCATCCAAGTATGTGAACATTTAAACACTAATGCTCTGTTTGAGGACTTTCAGTCTGGTTTTAGAGAGTATCACAGCACTGAAACTGCATTAGTGAGAGTTACAAATGATATTCTCATGGCCTCAGATAAAAATCTTGTGTCTGTTCTAGTCTTGTTAGATCTCAGTGCTGCCTTTGACACAGCTGATCACAATGTTCTTTTAGAAAGACTTGAACATGTTGTAGGGATCAAAGGAACAGCGTTAGGCTGGTTTAAATCCTACCTGTGTGACAGACAGTGTTGGGAGTAACGCCGTTTAAGTATAACGGCGTTTCTAACGGCGTTCTTTTATAGGTAACGGAATAATCTAATTAATTACTTTTCCCGCCGTTGCAACGCCGTTACCGTTACTGGGCACGGAACGTTGTGCGTTACTATGTGCTTGTCGAACGTTGAGCAGCTGCGTGAGGATTTCTGACCGCCACACTTCAGCTGCAGCCAGGGAGAGAGAGGTGTCGGTAACGCACTTACAAACACGATGATGATTGGCCGGGTGGGCGGTGACCCTCACTGTCTCAGTCGCTGCATGCTGTAGACCCAACGGGAATAACTCCGTTTAAAATAACCCCGTTAATAAAACATATTTCTTTCTGTAACAAGCAAACTAATTAATTACGTCTTCTTTTATCAAAACGTCGTGCCTGTTACTGGTAAGAAAATGCGTGCAGCAGCGAATCTGCGGGTCTGCAGACGTGCCCTTAGCGTGACAGCAGGACGTCCCGAAGGTCCGCTCACCTGTTCACTGCTCAGACGTCCTCCTGATCTTCTACCTTCCTAGATCATCCAGCTGTAACCTGTTCCTGATCATGTCTTTAGTCCCGCTGTAACACTGATGCATCAGTCTCAGACGTCATGGAGCTCAGGTGTTATTAGAACTACCTGTGTGTGTTCACCACCCAGCTTCAGGTCTTCTGTGTTTGGGTCTGACCCAAGTTAGTACATTTAAGTCCTCCATCAGGCTTGTGCCTCTTCTAGTGTCATTTTAAAGGCTTTTATTTATTTATTTAACCGTTACTAGATTACCAGCAACAGAAATGCTGCTAAAACACACAATTATGTGAAGCTGGAAAAATTAGAATGCTGTGCAAAATTACATTTATTTCTGTAATTTAACTAGACTGAGAGACCTTTTAAAGGCTCGGGAACCTTTACAGGTGTTTCTATTTGCAATTTTAAATTTTAGCTGATTGGGGTCTTGTTAAATATCACACAGTGACCTTTTAATAGTCTAGATTAGTGTAATGCTCCTGTTAGTAGTTCCTCCTGTTAAGTGCTTATTTGTTTAAATTATTCAGGTTTATATAAAACATTTGGACATACATTTTATTATGTTCCAGTCATTAGTCATTTATATTTTACTATTGTAGTAATTCTTGCATTCTTTAATGAAAAAAGTAACTAAGCAGTTACTTTTGTTGGTAATTAGTTACTTTTATGATCTTGTAACTCAGTTAGTAACTGAGTTACTTTTTTGACAAAGTAATCAGTAACTATAACTAATTACTTTTTTAAAGTAACATTCCCAACACTGCTGACAGATTTCATTTTGTAAATGTACATGACAAATCGTCTTCATACTCCAGGGTTACTTGTGGAGTACCACAGGGTTCAGTGTTTGGACCAATTCTTTTTACTATATATATGCTCCCAATTGGTAAAATCATTAGACAGCATGCCATAAACTTCCACTGTTATGCTGACGATACTCAGTTATATTTATCCATTAACCCTGATGAACCTAATCGGTTGGGTAGATTACAGGCTTGTCTTGAGGACATAAAAAATTGGATGACTCTAAACTTTTTGCTTTTAAATCAAGACAAGACGGAAGTTCTCATCTTTGGACTAGAAATCCAGAAAAGGAAATTGCTTGGTCAATCACCTGACCTGAATGGCATTACATTAATCTCCGAGAACAAAGTAAGGAACCTTGGTGTTATCTTTGATCAGGACATGGCATTCAAATCCCAGGTTAAACAGGTTTGTAGGATTTCCTTTTTCCACCTTCGGAATATTGCTAAGATTAGGAGCATCCTTTCCAGGAGTGATGCTGAAAAACTAGTTCATGCATTTATTACATCAAGACTGGATTACTGTAATCCATTACTCTCAGGAAGTCCACAGAATGTAGTTAAAAGTCTTCAGCTTGTCCAAAATGCTGCAGCTAGAGTTCTGATGAGAATTAAAAAGAGAGATCATATCTCTCCTGTCCTAGCTTCCCTACATTGGCTACCTGTTAAATTCAGAATAGATTTTAAGATCCTTCTTCTCACATATAAAGCTCTTAATAATCAAGCTCCATCATACATCAGTGATCTGATTGCTCCATATGTTCCTAACCGAGCACTTCGCTCTCAGACTGCAGGTCTACTGGTGGTTCCCAGAATATCTAAAATTAGGATGGGAGGCAGATCTTTTAGTTATCAGGCTTCTCTCCTGTGGAACCAGCTCCCAGCTTTAGTCCGTGAGGCAGACACTTTGTCTACTTTTAAGACTAGGTTTAAAACATTTTTATTTGATAGGGCCAATGGTTAAAATCTGATGTTAGCCTAAATCTGGACAAGTGGGGGAGTAGAGGGAGGTGGAGTGTACAGTCGGTAAAGACGGCTCTCCCTTGCCCTGCCTCCAACATGCCTCCATCTAAATAGGATAGATTATCCTGAGTTAACTCTGTAGTTATGCTGCTATAGGCTTACCCCCAAATTCCACTACCTCCGCTCCGCTACGCTCTGCTCCGACACGAACGCCGGAGCAAAATCTGTCCCGTTCTAGTCAATCAGAGCAATTCCACTACTGTGGCCGTGCTCCGGCAGTGCAGCGCCGTGCGCCGCCCCCTGTTCCGGCGTCCGGCAAAAATAGAATCGATCCTATTTTTGCCGGACGCCAGAGCACCTCCGCAGTAAATGAACAGAAATCACAAATGCTCAACAGGAAAAGGAGCAAGCACAACTTCCGTTTTTCACAATACATCGATAAACAAAAGGCGTTTTTTGTTTCATATGCACAGGTTTAACAACTTTTAACAACTATCAATGGCGGCTGAAGTTTAAATGCACAAAAGTAAGCCATAAATACAGTTTCCACTATCAAAGTAGTCACACTTTGTTGATCCAAACACTGCTGATCTCTCAACACAAATGATGGGCAGATTAAACAGTTCATTTCGATGCTTCTCCCACACAACGGGTGTTTGGATCTAACTTCCGCGTTTATTGCTCGGACTGTATCGCAAGATCTCGAAAATCCTGCGCATGCTTGTTTGCCCACCTCAGGTCTCCGCACCGGAGCGGAGCCGTTGTAGAGCGGGTACCAGTAAAAATTGAGTTTGGAAGCGAGCGGCTGCGGAAGGCGGGGGCGGACCGGAGCGGAGCGGAGGTAGTGGAATTTGGGGGTTAGACTGCTGGAGGACACACTGACCACTTTCACACTCGACTACTTTCTTCTACAATCTGCTCTTTAACTGTATTATTTTCTGCTATTTCAGCTGTTAACTTTATTTTCTCTCTAAGTGTTTTTCTCCCCAGAAGAAGCTACAATGATGTTCTGCTGAGCTGTGGTGGCCTCATGGAGGGGGCCATCTTCTAGCACACTGCTGCTAACCACTTAAACATTCTCCCTCTCCTGATAATAACTTTTTGCTTTCCTTGAAGTTGGATGTGCTACTACTAGTTTACCTGTTTAATTATAGATCCACTAGAATAAATATAATAAAGTTTATCTCTCACCAAATAGAATATTTACTAAGAAATCACAATGTAACCATAGACACATTACTTTGTCTTTTGTGTGTGTGTGTGTGTGTGTGTGTGTGTGTGTGTGTGTGTGTGTGTGTGTGTGTGTGTGTGTGTGTGTGCATGCGTGCAGCTCATGTCCGCCATTGTTTCCCTTGTGGAGCGGACTTTCCCGCGCGTATTAGGCCCCGCCCACAGGCTCGGGATTTCCGCATGCTTGAGAAGTTTCTCGGATTTATATGTGAACACTACACGCCCGTACCAGCCCAAGCTCACGCCATCCAGGTGGACCAAATGCAGACTGTGCTGACGCTAATGTGTAAGTGCCAAAAGATACATCAGTTGGTAATTCACATCATGTGTTTCCTACAGATGTTCAACAGCTGGTGCTGGTTAAAGAAGAAGCTCCTGAATAACAGAGTGCTGGTGACATTCAGCAGGACCCAGAACACCTCCATATAAAGGAGGAAAAGGAGCAACTCTGGAGCAGTCAGGAAGGAGAGCATCTCCATTTGAAAGAGGAGCCTGATGCTGCCAGCTTTCCATTCACTGTTGTTTCTATTAAAAATGAGGATGATGAACAGAAACATCTGGTCTCACAGCTTCATCAGCAGCAAGTAGAAGACAGATGTTCCAACCAGCAGCTCAGTTGACCAGATGACAGCAGAAACTGGTGGAGTAGCAGGAACTAACAGGAATCCTCATGAACAGACATCTGATTCTTCAGAGACTGAAGTTAGTAATGATGGTGTGGAGGATGATGATGATGTGACTCTAGGCTCTGAGCTGTCAGACTCTAGGCCTGAAACTGGAGACAGAGACAATGACTGGATTGAGAACAGGTCTTCCGAGTCAGATGTCAAGACTGTCAACAAGTCTTTTAGCTGCCATGAGGGCGGTAAACAGTTTGTCCACAAGTGGTCTCTCCAGAAACACGTGAGAGTGACAAGTTGTTCAGCAGTAAGGTCCTCAGAATTTCTGCTTAATAAGAAATGTGCCAGAGTTAAGAAACATGTAGACTCATGTAGGAAAGTCCAGGAAGAACTAAACTCAATAAGTTGTGACGACTGTGGAAATAAGTTTAGTGTAAAGTCAACTTTAAACAGACACATGAGAGTCCACACAGGGCTCAATGAACTCATTTAACTACACAAATACCAAAATGATCATTGTAGTATCTAGATCCTAGATAGTATTGCAACCCTGGTTGTTGTCCTATACCCTAGATCAGGGTCTTTTCCAGACCATGAGCCACCTCTCCCTGTCCTGCAAGCCCCATATTGAGGCCACTAAGCTGTAAATGTTTCCATCAAGAGGTGGCTCAGTATTGTTACACAATGATGAGCTGCTGACCTAAGGTTTCACTTTTGGAGTGTTGCTGAAAAGTATAGAATGCCATTCAACGCTTAATCCGCCTAGCCTGCTGGTGGTGGTCAGAGGGATCGGTGGCATCAGTGTAAAACACTTACACTCTGCTTCTCCTCCAGCTTCACTGGCTGCCAGACAACTTCAGGGTTCATTTAAAGATCCTGGTTCTGGTCTATAGGGCCTTACATGGACAAGCACCATCTTACATTGGTGATCTTCTTAGTCCCTACACCCCCAGCAGGTCCCTGAGGTCCAGTGACCAAAGCCTACTGGTTGTGCAGCACCAGGCTAAAGGTCAAAGGTGACAGATCATCTGCTGCTGTGGCCCCCAGACTCTGGACCTCTCTCCCCCTGAGCCTGAGATCAGTGGACTCAGAGGTCTCCTTTAAGAAGCAGCTGAAGACTCAGCTGTTCAGGCTGGCTTTGAGAACAGTCTCTCCTGCTTCCTAAAGCTCTTTATTTTATTTAGGATCTGAACTAATCTTATCTATTTAAGAGCATTATAACTTGTGTTTCTGTCTTGCTCTCTCTTTCACACTGGAAGCTTTTATAGAATATGGTCTGTTAATCTGTTCTATTCTGTTTTAGTAAACCTTCGCTCACCTGCGCTCCAGCCTTCCTGTTTTTGATTCTCAGTGTCCATCAGCTGTGCAGCACCATTTTGTAAGTGGTTGATGCACAGAGTGCTCTGCTCTGTAAGATGAACACAACAAGCTCCTGGCTGATGGTAGTCTCTGTCTTTGTGTCCAATGATGAAGCCTGTCTCCATTGTCCTATCACTAACCCAGGGTGCTCTGGAGACAACCTGTCCATAAACACCTCAGAAACTGAAGACATGATTCTGGACTTGAGTGAAAAACACAACAGTTACACATGTATTATATCTTTATACTGAGTATTTATTATATTATATTACATATGAGGAATATTTATTCTAAATAGAAACTTATTTTTTACTTTTGCCCATCAGAGCTCAATGAGTGGAGAAAAGAGCGTCGCCCTCTGGTGGCTTCAGTAAGCATTACATGAAGCTATAAGGACTAAATCAGCACCTTCCCAACACTTTTTATTTGCTTCTCAGAGTTGCTAAAAATAACATCAAAAGTTTCTGTCACATTCTTTATAGAAAGTAAGATTTTTTAGTTTGTTTGAAGTTCATAAAGAATAAAACTGGTCAGATTTAGATTAAAAACATAATAAAGAAAAACGTATTTTACTTGTTTTTCGTGGCTTTTGAAGAGACCACCTAAAATAATAAAAATATAACACGTTATGTGTGTTTTATTAGTCCCATTCTGAACACACAGGTGTGTTTTATTCTGCTCCAGCAGGTGGCGCTAGTGCACCTTTACGCTACTCACCGACCACCGGAAAAGCAGAAACCGGAAGCTGCTAGCACAGCTAGCTTGTTGTTGTTCTGGTGTGTGAGGAGAATGTTTGGGGCTCTGCAGTAATATATCTTCACTTCAGTCTCTGGGAGAGTTGATCAGCTAAAGCGACTAACTGCTGCTGCTGCAGAAATCTTCTCACCAGGCTGTGGAAACTTTCTTCTCCTCCTCAACAACTTGGTGGAGTTCTTTCCAGAAGCAGAGAAGATATTCTGCGTTCTTCGTGACAATCGGAGCTCCAGAATCAGGTTGCGGGTCAGAAAAGCTTTTCTCTAGACTTCCTGCCCTCTGGATCTGCTGCTGTTCCTTTGGCCAGAACCAAAGCGTTGGATCTTTAATCTCCTGCGTTGTTCTGAAGCAGCATCTTAATCAGCTCTCCTGCTTTGTTTCTATTGCAGCTGTTAGCTAAACACGGCTAAAGAAAACCTGCTACCACTTCAGGATCATCCATCAGCTGGGACTGATTCATCGTGTGTTCTTCACCACCTGGACCTGGACAGCATGGACACAGGTAGGGCTGCCACCTTTCAGATATGTAAATAAGTAAATGAGTTGGAGAAGTGGTTTATCTCTTAGACAGCTGTGTTATTCACACAGGTGTGAAACATCTGTAAAAGCCAGATCTGGTGCAGGAAAATGGCTGAACAGGGAGTGGGGACACACTTTGCCTTCTGCGGTTGTAAGTGATAATAATAATAATAATTATTATTATTATACATTAAACTTGTATAGCACTTTTTAGGTCAGTCAAAGAGGCTTCACAAAAAATGCAGTAAACACATAATAAAACAACATGAAACATAGTAAACAGACTGGGGGATGCTGGGTTGATCTTAAGAGAAGTCCAATTTAAAGAAGTGGGTTTTAAGCAGTGACTTAAAAGTAGAAAGAGAGACGGCATTCCTGATGTTTAGTGGGAGAGAGTTCCAAAGTGTGGGGGCAGAGGCTGCAAAGGCTCCATCCCCCATGGTGCCATGTTTTGTTCTGAAAGGGGAAAGGAGGTTGGAGTCAGCAGAACGGAGGTGCCGGGAAGGAGAATGGCGATGGACTGATTATCGTTTTGATTTAAAAGTTGTGAAACTATTCAGTATATCCGTGCTGCAATAAATGGTCTGCAGCGCTAAAGACAAAAACAAATTGCTTCCTACAGCCTCCACATGTGACTCCAGAGTGCAGTCGCTAAGTCAGCATGCAGCTCAGTGAATTTAATGTCCTAGTCGAGTGGGTGGTGGTCTTATGGAAACATGAGAGCAAGTCAAATTGCTACTTTAAGAGCACTCTGAGCAACAGTTGTTTTTCTACACATCTGTTTTTGATTCACTGTTAAGCAGTTGTCTGACTTTTCTATATTTTTTCTAAAGTAAAGCTGTCATTTACAACTTTTTCTTGTCTTCTTGTTTTCTATTTTCATATTCAGGCCAGTTTACACACAGAACTCCAGTTATTGCTTGTTTTGTCCAATCTGGGCTGCAGCCGAATCACACAGTCAGTACACCAACATGCTGCTCCTCTCAGCTCACATCCTCTATACACACACATCCGACGTCGGAGCTGCACACAGGCAAACTCAGAGTGAGATCATGGAATTGGATCAGGAACTTCCTACAGACAGGAAAAGATCTCAGCTACCATAGCTGTAGATCACACTGTGGTTGCATTTATTTGACTTATTTTATTTTACTCATATTTTACCACCTCTTACATGAGCTGTCTTTAGTCCATTTCCAATACAAATACAGACAGAAGGACAATATGGGATCAGCACAGTGGCCTTGTGGTAGTGTCCTCCCTGGGACTGTGAGATCAGGTTCCATTCTCGGTCAGGTCATACTAAAGACTTTAAAAATGGGTCCCAATGCCTCCCTGCTTGACACTCAGCTTTAAGGGGTTGGATTGGGGTAAAACCACCGAATAGTTCCCGGGCCCAGCCACTGCTGCATCTCACCACTCCCCTCCAATGAGATCACCAGTATGTGATGATGACTATGGGACTTTCTCCATTTTCTTCTTTTTTAATGCATTGCATCACCACCTGGTATCAGAACAGGACTCAGTATTGGAAGATAATCAAAAATCAAACAACTTGGATTCAGATTAGGGGCAAAAATGTGGTTGTAACATAAGTCAGCTTTAAAAGCTAAACTGTTTATGAAATAACGTTACCTTAATTAATGACATATTTTCCTAGTGTACATTATGTTGTTTGAAACCAAGGGTCTCATCATCTGAACTTTTTAACTTGTTGGATCGTGAATCTGTTTAAACGTTTTGCTCTATATGTGCCCTTTTTTTAACTTTGAGCCCGCTCCCCTTCAAAGGTCTCTGCACGGCCCTGCTCTATCTGCTTCCTTTACAGCACCTGCTGAGCTCATTTAAAGAAATCTCCTACCGTCTTCACACGGATGACATCCAACTGTACATCTCCTTTAAGCCCCATGAGATGTCTAAGCTGCAGCTGTTACACACCTGCTTAGACTCTATCAAAACCTGGATGGTGGGAGCTTTCTACAGCTGAATGAAGATAAGACTGAGATCCTCATCTGTGCCCCAGACAAGCTGGTTCCCAAAGTCAGAGACTCTCTTGGTCAGCTTGCTTCTCACACCAAACCTTCTGTCAGGAATCTTGGCGTGACCTTTGACCCAGCTCTCACCCTGGATTCTCATGTCAGTTCTCTTGTTGGCTCTTCCTTCTTCCATCTCAGGAACGTTGCTAAGCTGAGTCCCATTCTGTCCCGCTCTGAACTTGAGACAGTTCTCCACACCTTCATCTCCTCACGCTTAGACTACTGTAACTCTCTTTTCACGTGTCTGAGCAGAACCTCCCTGAACCGTCTACAGGTGGTTCAGAACGCCTGTGCTCGGCTTCTGACCAAGTCCTCCAAACACACCCACATCACCCCGCTTCTCCTCCAGCTTCACTGGCTGCCAGTCAACTTCAGGGTTCATTTCAAGATCCTGGTTCTGGTCTATAGGGCCTTACATGGACAAGCACCATCTTACATTGGTGATCTTCTTAGTCCCTACACCCCCAGCAGGTCCCTGAGGTCCAGTGATCAAAGCCTACTGGTTGTGCACCAGCCGCAAACTCACTGATGCGCCTGCAGCCTCTCGGAGTTCCTGCTGCTCTAAACATTAAAATAATTATTTCATTTTCTGTTCCTCACTTCTGATAACCTTCAATGGTGTCTGTTTGTTGCAACCAGCAGGTACAAAAACTAACTTGTTTTTATTTGACTATTTTTCTGTCCTGCCTGTTTATTATCTTCCTGCATCTCCTCTCAATCCTAAAGAGAAACTGCTACTTGGGTTCATATATATTCACCTTATGAGTTACCTTTGAACTGCAGTTCTAAAAGATCTACCGACCGCTAAAACAGCGGAGTGCTCACTGCTTGGCGACCGCATCAGTGATCGGTGCGTCACCGGAGGACAAGGTGATGCGCCCCGCTCCACAGCAACGAAACACATCAGGCGCAAATAAAAGACAGAAAACATTAAAGGAAATGAGCCGACATGAACGATCGCGTGTCAGTACCGACGCTCTGGCACAGCGCGTTGCCCCCCCGAGCACAGGAGCTTGTCACCTGCTGACAGCAGGCTGCTGTCTTTTCCGAGGGCTGCATCTTGCCGGTCATTATCACGTGACAGCGACTAGTCGATGACAGGCATAACAAGTCACTATAGAGCGGTGAAGTCAAATAGTGACTAGTTCATACAACCCCTGCTACTGCTCACCAGAGTGTTCTGCAGCATAATCAGCACGTTCTCTTTGAACTTGATATCAAATTTTCGCCTCCTCTTCATCTCCGCACGGCAGGGTTGTCACGGTAACCGGTATAGCGGTAAACCCCGGTAAAAAAGTTGACAATAAAAATAACCGTCCAGTTTTTAAAAAACTAAATTATCTCGGTGGGTTTACCGTGGCCGCAGTTTAGGCGCGGTGACCCTTACAGCCACCGTCGCTTCTGCTGAAGTTCCCGCGCACACGCACTTTTTAGTT